TGCGATAGATTCCGGTGGTTAGACGACACAAGGTTATTACCGTGACTTACATCGTGTTAGAATAGGAACCTTTACGATGACAACAGCGCTAAGGGACGTAGAATTTGTGAGATAAAATTACTTCGGAGAATGGCAAGCGAAGACGGTATTGAGCATCCAAAACAGGTTCTGAGGATTAATCTGAGTTAGCGAAGCGATACGAGAGGAAGATAAACAATTAAATCTGCTGTTGAAGGTTTGGATCGGCATGTCACGCTGTCAGTTGTATCTACATTGTTCATGGAAATACCCTAACCTAAATGGGCCAACAACATTGCGACTATCAATTGCCGGGGATAAACAAGGCACACAAACGTTAGGGAGGTGTAGTCAGGTTGGCGTCTGTTTGGGATTCCAGGGATAAAATTTGGCAGTACGGCACTTGTGGGCCCGAAGTTGTTCAGCAATTAGTTTTATCACTCACCCTTGACAAGTAGTTGATATAACAGTTAAAACGTCCCCATAATCACGTAAAATCTAAGCAAATAACGCAGGTTATTGTATAGGTACGACGGATTCTAGTGGTTGATAAACATAGCTACAGTCAATATACAGTACGTGTAATGCTGCTAGAACCGCAACAGAGAGTAAATATATGTACTATGCGGCTCAATCCAAGCTAGAACCCAACAGGCAACGTTACAATCTAGGAGTACCCGTTTAATATTAAATTAGTGTGGGTCCGTGATGTAGTGGTTTAGGTACCTAGTTTGTCCCATATACCCCCGGATTCGATTCTTCGTAGTATTCCAACCCTATCAGAATCACCTGCAGTTGGATGACAGTGAGGCGTCAATGTGCAACTGATATCTAGTAAGGTGGTCGACGAGAGTGGCAGATGGTACATTTTGCACCACCTGAAAGTATGGAACATGTTGCGTATGCCTGTCCCTCACTTGTGGAGAATCTCGTTGCATTTATCTGATGTAGGAGGACGTAAGGTTAGAGTGGGAGACCGATAACTTGGCAGAGGAGAACAAACGACCCATTTGTTTGTGTCATGTTCGAGGCTAGAGTTCACGAGACTCATGCTGTGTTTGGTTGGAGACGTCACGGAACATGGATCTCAGCCGGCATCGTTGAGGTATCTGACTCACAGTTGAATGTCCTGTTCACCGTATACGTGATGTTAAGTTATTTGTGATGTAACGTTGATTACGATGAATTCTAGCAAAGAGCACAGGGAAGCTGTGGTGCTGGTGATGTCTTGTTCCTATGTAGCAACTAGACGTTTGAGACTGTACATTAGTGTTGATGTGTAACACCCTGGTATTGTAAGTCGGATAGCGATATTGGCTGTTGACATTAAATCGACTTTCTCCCCGAAAAATACTGTTTGTCGATATGAAGATTACTATGGTTATATGATATCAAATCATTAGTGTTAAGTGCCATCGTACTTCTGCTGCCAGGCTGTAAAGTGCACAGCGCGGTCGGATGGGCAAGTCAAATTCATTGGGCGATCCAGGGCGACATCGGATTAACTTTTGCTAATAAAGGGTTTGTGGCAATCAACGTAATTATTCTGGTGGTTTACCTAAATGTATGTAGTGCGGTGCAACCTCATGTGATCAGTGCCATTCATTTGCTTGAAGTCTTAGGTGCACAATGAGCAAACTTTTGGTCTGCACGGCACCGTAAGCTAACAAACACTTTCGTGAATAGGCGTATATTCAACTTCCAGATCAGTTCTTTAAGGCTTGATAATAGTGTAAGAGTTACTTAAGTGTAGGTTGGCCACTATGACATTTGGGTTCTTTAAGGTGATAATGCTTCCAAAACAACTAGCCTAACCGATCTTTTAAAGTGGCGATCAGATAACTGTAAGCACTAGGATCACGTGAAGCAAGTATTGCAGAGGTGCAACAGCAAGAAACAACCTCAGTTAGTTCCAGAGCATGACAACTGGACAGTTAATACAGGAATGCGACTAAAAGAAATTAGGATGGTTAAGGATAAGACCTTGCAGCGAAGGCAAATAATTGCATAAGGTCGATGCGAAGTAACCTAACGGAAACACTTTAGTATAAATGCTGCTTGCAATTTACATGGCGCAAGCCAAGTACAAATAGAAAATTAAGAAATGGTAGCAAAAGAAATGCACGTGCTTAGTTATACAGCTAATGCCAGCATAGATCTGTGAGTGTGGATTACAAAGATAAAATGCCTACCATTGCAAATGAAAAGCACATATAGTGGCTGAAGGTGTGCAGCAAAAAAATGATTTGGTCATACGTTACATTAAACCATCGGAGTGATCGTGACAAGTAAAGCTGTGCCCATACAATTACAACAATCGAACATAGCTGCATGAACTGGCAAATCTTACTAATTACCCGTATCTGTCAACCATTATGTTACCTATCATCTAGTATTACAACCTATGGAACCTTAAAAGTTCATAAGCTGCAACCGGTCTCCCGAGGTCATACAAAAAGATCAGCTGTTCAGTGCGGACTACGCTTGAAGCAAGCTTCAGCTGATGTAAAGTCAAAAATTGTTACCAATCATTGCAGCGATTACAGTGCTTTGTTAACATGAATCAGCATACTAGTCCTATGTTCACAACAATTGATCAACAATAAAAATGGAGGATACAAAGTGGTTTATAACGCAAGTACTAAAAACGAAGAGAGCACCATAAAATGAGTCGACTTCACGCAATTTTAACGACCCACTAGAACTATTAATTAGCAAATTAATTGCAGTGGCAGGTTTGTTGATAGTAAAACTGAAAAAGAGATGATCCGGTGAGATAATAGGATCATAAGGATATAATATGGTTGCTTGAGGTTACGTGCATTTGGGCGCTTATGTATTTAATCGAAAGTTTGAGGAACTTTGTTATAGGTCTATACATGAACGTTCGCGTATATAATATGCTCCATACTACGTTTACAAGTAAATCAATCCAAGGTCACCAGACAGAATTGATTCGCACATAAAGGCATAGCAATACACCTAAACAATAAGCGCAACAAACTTACTATTATCTTTACAGCAGCTAGAATTAAAAATACAACCATCGGTTTAACAGAAAACGTAATGTACCAGTAGCAAATTAACGGCCTCCACACGACCAGTGTGTGACGCGGTTTTGTTTTAGGCCTGTCAAAGGCTCAAATCGGACTATCAACTCCTGGTCTAACGAAACACAGAAAAAGGTACATCCAAAGGATTATACTATCGTTTCGTTTGCAACTAAAATAAGGTAACACGGAACTGGACGCAGCTGAAACGTCAAGCTGTGTTCCACGCCAGCTACAATATCTCGGTCACGTCACAACTATGATTGACAGAGGAATGGCAAGTATTATAATTTTGTTGGACATGCAAAAGGCGTACGACCGCGTGCCGTACAAGCCACTGCTGTCTGCTCTGGAGTCATATGGAATTGGAAATCCTCTACTTAACTGGTTCGACTCATACCTAAACGGTTGAACTAATGTAGTTAAAATCGGTCAGCAACATTCTACACCGAAACAAATAACCAGCGGCGTCTTCCAGAGAAGTGTGCTCAGACCATTACTTTTCTTAATCTACGCAAACAACATATGTGACCCGATCAATCATGAACACTCATTTCTGCTTTCAGATGACGTCAAACTGGTTTACTCCTTTCATTCGGACCAACTACAAATATGTTTGGGAAACATCTGTGAAGACCTATCCGCACTAAATATAGCTAGTGAGCGTTTATTAATGAAGTTCTCCGCAGTGAAATCCCAAGTACTTGGGTACAGATGCTGCATCCCAGAAGGCTCTATCATACTTACCGGGAACGTGATCCCAACGTCTGGTTCAGTTCAGGACTTAGGAATTCGGTACTCCAACTCTTTCAATTTCTCCGAACATGTACGTTATCAAGTTGCGAAAGTAATGCAGTTATGCGGATATATCGCCAGAACTTTCTCCCTACCTTAAACACGACTTGAGTCAATCAGGACAATCGTACGACCGACTGTGAAATATTGTACCATCGTTCACAGCCAATTGAGGAAGAAAGACAGAACGGCTCTGAAAAATGTCCAACGATCATTTGCCAAGCTGGTCATGGGGCGCTGCTCAAACCGGACTTATTATAATCGCTGTCGAAGACTCCAACTGGCTGCTCTTTGGCTGAGACGCTTAAAAAACAACCTCGTTCTCTTCTACAACATTATAAACCAACGAATTTAAGCAGGCAGCATCGCACTTGAACTACGAAAAACTACAGTCTACTCCACACGTAATGGCGGCCAACTGATACGCACAAACCTTTCAAGTCATAAAACTCGGTCGAATTGCTTCTTATTGAGATACACTGATCTGTGGAACAAACCACCCTTACAAATACGCATGTGTACAAGCTATGTCATTTCGAAATTCCCTTCAGACGTTCCGCACTATACCAAATATTTTGAAGATATTTGACTCACAGCAAACTCTAGAAATATTGACAAATCTGGTATAAAAACATATGAGCAAATATTCGCTTACAATTAGCTTACCCACTACATGTCATTACCTACAATATCAAATCCTATGTCTCTGCAGCCTAGTAGCCCCTCCCTTTTATTATCTACTCTTGAGAATATAAACATCCGTAAATTTTACATATGAGGTGCACGGGTCTAGGACCCGAAAAAAATCATGATCCGAAATTCTGTTAATAAACTCCTCTTTACTATTATTATACGTATTCACTATATCAATGATCGCTCTAACTTATGGGGCCGTGTACCGTCCGCCGGTAAATATACAAATTTATTTATTTATTCATAGAAAATACCTCTATGCCGAGCAACTAACTAATATAGTTCATGTGCTACATAGTATAAGCTAAATTATGTATGTGATATACCCGAAGCAGAAAAATTCGGAGATGACAATTTAAGCATGAGGCAAGACATCTGCAGCGGCAACGGCAGCGGTCACCTCCGAAACGTACGCGAAAAAGCACAAAACGAATATAAACTCACGGGAATCTGTACTAAATGAACAAGGTTTCTGTCTAAAAGTCCAACATTCTGGTAAGTTCGATAAACGGTGGGTTAGGTGAAACTCACCTCGGCAGATATATATGTCAAGGCCTTCTCATCATCATCTTTCAAGAGAAAACAAAAGTCATCTACTGTGTTGAGTACGTCAGGATGGCTAAGATATAAATCAACTCAAATGCTTTGGCTTACAACTGACGGAAAGTGAGATGCAAGATCTCGGTAAATGTGGTACTCTACCAACTAAAATTCATAGTAATATGTGCTTACTGAGTCGACTGTGACAAGGGTTGAAAGACAATCAGAATGCAATGATTTCTGAAACTTGACGCCAAATTTGAGGACATCATGCATAACGCGAATGAACCCAGGTAATCGTATACTTCGTTACTTCAAAAGTTGAAACGCATCAGGTTGGGGAAGTCACCCGAGAACAACTAAATAATTTGAATAATCGCCGCGAGTGCATTACAGCAAAATCATTCGACTGTTGCTTTTGAAACAACCGTAACAAGAAGCAAAATTAAAGTTATAGAATAAGTTCACTAGTTTCCGCTAGATGTTTATTTAACTTAAATCCGTTTTTTTCGTATTCACACATAGGCTTCGGCGGTACAAGTACGCGGTAAATCAAAGTTTTAGCTTGTCATACTAATCGAGCTATTTTGCTGAAATATAAGGGACACAGTGTTTAAAGAAATATTTGAAACGGATTTGATTATTGTCAAATTTTTCTGATTCAAAATACCTTTGATCGAATAAAGTGGTTTTGGTTGTTGCTTACTGTTAAATCTTCCGGTTGTTCCCAGTTGTAACCCCTTTTCCATACAGTTGCTGCCTTTTTTGCGATTTTAGTTTTGTATAGTGCTATGATTCCGTCCTGTTTTCCACTCTGTTTGTCGCGCAAAGCTCCGAATCGGTTGCTTCTTGAGGCTTGGATTCTTAGGCTAGCGTACTTAGTGGTAGTTCAAGCAGCATTATGCCAGTAACGGACGTTGCTGACGACATGCAGTGCATTGTCTGCAACCTAGTGTAATATCGGCTTTGTACGAACTCGAATACCGAGCAGTACGCAAGTATTTTCTCCAGCGACAGGTCGCGTTATAGTAGTGTCAACTGCTACAACCGCCGGCAAGGCCCCCAGTTGCAAACTGTCGAACGTTCGTTTTCGAAGCTCTCAGATATTCGCCCCAAGCTCGATCTGCTGGTGACGACGCTTACGGGCTCCAACAAAGTACGTTCGAACATTTACACTGGAGGTCATCTTGTGGCACTAAACTTTGGTCACCCGCCTAGAGGGCTGCAGACCACATAAAGGAATCTGCATCTGTAGCAAATCCTGCCCTGATCAATGCCGAATTTCTGGTTCACGGGTCCATTAACGTAAAGAGCAAAAGAGCCAGGAAACCCCGAAAGCAAAACAAGAACCTGGAGTTGTCTTAACCCAGGAAGCAAGCGAATTGTCATTCTTGTCAAGCCGTCCGACGGTTGTGCGAAGCAGTGAATTCCCACAGGTACTAGTTGTCACGCGAAGCTGCTGGCTATCTCCGCGATGACTGCGCGTCCTGGCGGTTTGCTTGACTCTGCTCAAAGCGACAAAGCGTCACAGGCCCCTGCTACCTTATCAAAAGGGATAAGTAGATCAAATCTGACCTTAAGCCAACAGCACTGCGAAAAACACCCCGCCGTTGCTACCTCATCTGAGGGGATAAAGACAGTCCCATCACCCGTGGAGAAGCCACCCGCTCCATGTGTCGAAGCAAAAACCCGTGGTGGTCCTTTCATGAATAGCGGCGTTATATTCCGTACCGCGGCCGAATCCACTGTTGTCGTTCCTGTTAAACGCAGGTTGGACGAGGTGCAGTGGGTTAAAATGTGCCTAACCAAGCTTTTCCGATTTGATTGCAAAACTACCGTTAGAAAGCTGTTTAGCTTGGGGAACGTCCCAGTTAATGCACTAAACCTTCGATCGCGGCCACTTCGTTTGGTGCTCGCTACCCCGGAGGAATGCAACTTTCTCACGAGGTTTGCTTTTAAGCTGAAAGGTAGTAATGTTGGTGTGCAGCCGGACCTCCCTCTGTTCGATAGGCTAAAACTATAGAAGGCTATTAAAGCCCTCAAAAGCAGGCGAGCGGCCGGTGAACAAGATATCCGGTTAGTGGGTATTCGGGCGGTCATCCGGTGGTCTTTTCCCTCCCTGCCATTGCCCACTCTGGTGCCGCACGACCTAGGTTTTGACATAACGAGTGCTTTCATATAGTGCCAAACACTGCGCAATCTAAGGAATAAGGTGTACTTGGTGGGACTGCTTGTAGATGTGTACCCCACCGACATACTCGCCTTCCCTGAAACGTTGCTGTCTCAGGACATCATGGAAGGTGAAATGCATCTATCTGGCTACGCACTATTTAGATGACATCGATCCGTTGACCTGCAGGAAGTAGGTGTCGCTCTTACTGTGGGCTGTACCCTTGAAGTGTTGAAGCCTTACTTGTTTCGGTTGGCAAACAAAACTGTGGAAGCTCCGTTGGCTGCGGTTAACACTTTCTCGGCTCAGGTTACAGTTGTGATTGTGTATCCAGGGCGCGTATCCAAAGTGGTACTTGACTTTATTCGCTCCCAGTCCGCAAAGTAGTGTTTGGTGAGAGGCTACTTCAACCTCTCGAAGGTTTGTTGAACAGACCTTTATTGCAACTCAGTGTCAGACATACTCGGCGCTGATATACTTAGCTTACGCTCTAAGTACCGCTGCAGCAGTTCGTTGATCTCCCTACCTAGACGCCTAAGTACCGTTTATCTTACACCTTGTGTCTGCTAAGTCATTCAAGTTTGTTGGTGACATTACTTAAGGTGCTCCAGTGGGTTTTAGTGAACCTGTTGGATTACCCTTCAGTTTTACTCTGTCGGTGCGCTACCAGAATATTGTTGACTCGCGCCTGAGCAAATGTCACCCAGGCTATCAGTCAATGAGATATACAGCTTCGGGTTTCCATTGGGGGATCTCAGGCGACGATACTGTCCAAGTTGCCTGAGATAAATTTAAGTTCTGCCTCGTGGCGGTCTCTGCTCCCTTCATCCATGTCACAAGGGGAAGGATGCATGAGCCCAGTTAGGCTGAACAGGTTGCACCGGCAGGCATATCCACACGAATGGGACTAAATGTTGAGGGACTTCCGAGGCGCTCCCTCCACCGGTACGTTTGACAGGCACCATAAGGCTATAAATAGGTGTAAGCAAAACCCGAGGAATGTTCGACTGAATTTCGAGAAAGGATTAGTGAACGAATTTTCACAGATTCCAAATTGTGTCCTCTCATATGTCAAAAGGCGCTGCGGTTCGAACATGTCAGTTCCAATTTTGATGCATGATGTTGGTACGCACGCTTATACGGACTATGTCATGGCCTTCGTACCTAGTGGACATTATGCAGCAGCTTTTGAAAGGGAACTTTCGTTGACAGGCGTTGAACTAGGTTGCAGGGTACCAGGGGGTTCAGGACTATCTGAATTTATTGCTGCTGAGACGGAAATTTGCAGGCTGTTAAAATGCTGAACCGTTCTAAGGCATCTGGGGTCGATTTAATTCACCAGAAACTGTTACATGAGTTGACTGCGGAGCTAAGTGGACCGCTCGCCATCGCGTTTTAGAAATCGCTTGACAGCCTTGCATTACCTTCCGAATGGAAGAAAGCTGTCGGCTGTCCCGTTTTCAAAATTGGAGACAGGAGTCTGCCTGCAAATTACAGACCATTTAGTCTTACGGGTGTAGCAGGCAAACTCCGTGAGAAACTGGTGTGAGATTCATTGGAGAGTCAGTTGAGTAGGTTTAATCTACGCAAAGCACAGCACGGATTCCGGGGGAGGTTCGTGTCTGACAAATCTACTGGTTGCTCTCGAAAGTTTGGCAGATGCGGCAGATAACAGCCACATACTGGAGGTACTTTTGGTCTACCTTTCGGAGGTATTTGACAAGGTCCCAACATTGAAACTTGCGCAAAAGGTGAGTTCTTACGGTATATCTGGTTGCACTCTTCACTGGGTGACTGTCTTGTTGGATGGTAGCGAACGGTGTATACGTGTAGTTCGCGGCCCATCGTTCAGGCAATCTGTTCTCGAACAAGGACTGCCGCTGTTCTCTATCTGCGTGAAAGAACTGACCTTTGAGCTTGAGCTGCCATCCCCGCTATTTACGGATGGCCCAAAGCTATGCAATATTGTAGATGTTCCTGAGTGTTACGAACCTATTCCGCGAGCGTTGGATAGAAGTTGGGACTGGTCTACTTTATAGTTACTGCCATAAATCACACAAAATACTCAGTTCTTCGAATTGAAAGAGGTTGTCTTCCCACGTATTACTTGTTCAGTGGGGTCGAACTTCCCAAGCCTAGCCAGTTTGGTCTAGTCATTGTACACTTTTTGATTTTACACTCCAGCGAAACCGGGAAGAACGCAGCAAGGAGAATTTTCCGTATGTTGTAGTTACTATGCCTTGCTTTCGGCACCTTGACTGGCGGCATCTTGGTGAGACTGTTCACGGCTTTCCTTCGGCCTAATCTAACATACTGGATTCAGTCTTTCCGACCTGCCTTGTCCAGGACAAAGTGGAACTAGAGAGGGTTTTACGGGTGGGTAACGGGCTGTTTGATTGATTAGGAAGCTAAACTAACCCCGAGTGTCTACTTAGTTTGGGAATGCATTCAATGCACAACCAAAAGCTTAGAGAAGACCTAATCCCAATCTACTGTATCTTAACTGGTAAGGTTGGTCCAGTTTTATGATGGCTATTCGGTACCGCTAAAGTGTCTACTGGCTAGTCGAACAACCTCCTCGTGGTGCCAACTGGGTGGTTCTGGTTTAACCCGTTCCAGCAAATAGTTTGGCGGCAGTGTTGCTGGACACGGTGGGCTTTCGACCGGCAGGCGTTATTCCTATAAAAAGCCGCAATGTTCCGTCTAGCAACACTGCGAGGTGGCGGTCGTGACTCGATAAAAATAAAGCCACTGCTCCGTGGATATCCGGATAATCCTTCCTAACCAACGGATACCAAGCCTCTACTCGCACACAATTACAAGCACAAACTACACGGCAATATATACACAGACAGTTACATACTTACATACCACCTGCACAACCGTACACTGTTATAGCAAATATATCGGGTGTTTGCACCTCCTTGCTCACGCACTGTCGACAAAATAATCATGACGGCTTTCTTGATTTATTCATGAAGCTGGAGAAACCGCGGTTCGATCGGATTAGGATGAAAAGGCGGCCGTCCGCCTGAGTCATTGAGCGTTGTAGCTTGCTTCCGGAATGTGCTATCAGGGAATCTACTGTTAAGTGGTTTGAGTGGCA